TTATCAATAATGGGACCGATGGACATGGGTCATCAATAATGGGACCGATGGACATGGGTCATCAATAATGGGGCCGATGGTCATGGGTCATCAATAATGGGACCGATGACATGGGTCATCAATAATGGGACTGATGGACATGGGTCATCAATAATGGGACTGATGGACATAGGTCATCAATAATGGGTTGATGGACATGGGTCGGGATGATGGTCATGGGTCATCAATAATGGGACCGATGACATGGGTCATCAATAATGGGACTGATGGACATGGGTCATCAATAATGGGACTGATGGACATAGGTCATCAATATTGGGACCGATGGACATGGGTCATCAATATTGGGACCGATGGACATGGGTCATCAATAATGGGACCGATGGACATGGGTCATCATCAATCATCATCAATAATGGGACTGATGGACATGGGTCATCACTAATGGGGCCGATGGACATGGGTCATCAATAATGGGACCGATGGACATGGGTCATCAATAATGGGACCGATGGACATGGGTCATCATCAATAATGGGACTGATGGACATGGGTCATCATCAATAATGGGACTGATGGACATGGGTCATCAATAATGGGGCCGATTAACATAGGTCATCAATAATGGGACCGATGGATATGGGTCATCAATAATGGGACTGATGGACATGGGTCATCATCAATAATGGGAGCGATGGACATGGGTCATCAATAATGGAGTTGATGGACATGAGTCATCATCAATAATGGGACTGATGGACATGGGTCATCAATAATGGGACCGATGGACATGGGTCATCAATAATGGGACTGATGGACATGGGTCATCATCAATAATGGGACCGATGGACATGGATCATCAATAATGGGACAGATGGACATGGGTCATCAATAATGGGGCCGATTAACATAGGTCATCAATAATGGGACAATGGATCATCAATAATGGGACAGATGGACATGGGTCATCAATAATGGGGTCGATGGACATGGGTCATCATCAATAATGGGACTGATGGACATGGGTCATCATCAATAATGGGACTGATGGACATGGGTCATCAATAATGGGACCGATGAACATGGGTTATCATCAATAATGGGACTGATGGTCATGTGTCATCAATAATGGGACCAATGGGACCGATGGACATGGGTCATCAATATTGGGACCGATGGACATGGGTCATCAATAATGGGGCCGATTAACATAGGTCATCAATAATGGGACCGATGGACATGGGTCATCATCAATAATGGGACATCATGGGTCATCAATAATGGGACCGATGGACATGGGTCATCAATAATGGGGTCGATGGACATGGGTCATCATCAATAATGGGACTGATGGACATGGGTCATCATCAATAATGGGACTGATGGACATGGGTCATCATCAATAATGGGACCGATGGACATGGGTCATCAATAATGGGACTGATGGACATGGGTCATCAATAATGGGACCGATGGACATGGGTTATCATCAATAATGGGACTGATGGTCATGTGTCATCAATAATGGGAGCGATGGATATGGGTCATCATCAATAATGGGAGCGATGGACATGGGTCATCAATAACATGGGTCATCATCAATAATAGGATCGATGGACATGGGTCATCAATAATGGGGCCGATTAACATAGGGGTCATCATCAATAATGAGACTGATGGACATGGGTCATCAATATTGGGACCGATGGACATGGGTCATCAATAATGGGACTGATGGACATGGGTCATCAATAATGGGACCGATGGACATGGGTCATCATCAATAATGGGACTGATGGACATGGGTCATCAATAATGGGACCGATGAACATGGGTCATCATCAATAATGGGACCGATGGACATGGGTCATCAATAATTGGACCGATGGACATGGGTCATCAATAATGGGACTGATGGACATGGGTCATCATCAATAATGGGACCGATGGACATGGGTCATCAATAATGGGACATGGGTCATCATCAATAATGGGACCGATGGACATGATTCATCAATACTGGGTCTGATGGACCTGGGTCATCATCAAAAATGGGACCCATGGACATGGGTCATCAATAATGGGACAATGGGTCATCATGGGACCGATGGACATGGGTCATCAATAATGGGACCGATGGACATGGGTCATCAATAATGGGACCGATGGACATGGGTCATCAATAATGGGACTGATGGACATGGGTCATCATCAATAATGGGACAGATGGACATGGGTCATCATCAATAATGGGACCAATGGACATGGGTCATCAATAATGGGACCGATGGACATGGATCATGGGACCGATGGACATGGGTCATCATCAATAATAAGATCGATGGACATGGGTCATCATCAATAATGGGACCAATGGACATGGGTCATCATCAACAATGGGACCGATGGACATGGGTCATCAATAATGGGACTGATGGACATGGGTCATCATCAATAAAGGGACCGATGGACATGGGTCATCAATATTGGGGCCGATGGACATGGGTCATCATCAATAATGGGACCGATGGACATGATTCATCAATAATGGGACTGATGGACATGGGTCATCATCAATAATGGGACCAATGGACATGGGTCATCAATAATGGGACCGATGGACATGGGTCATCAATAATGGGACTGGTGGACATGGGTCGGTCATCAATAATGGGACTGATGGACATGGGTCATCAATAATGGGACTGATGGACATGGGTCATCATCAATAATGGGACCAATGGACATGGGTCATCCATAATTGGACCGATGGACATGGGTCATCATTCATAATGGGACCGATGGACATGAGTCATCAATAATGGAACTGATGGACATGGGTCATCATCAAGAATGGGACCAATGGACATGGGTCATCAATAATGGGGTCGATGGACATGGGTCATCATCAATAATGGGACTGATGGACATGGGTCATCATCAATAATGGGAGCGATGGACATGGGTCATCAATAATGGGGTCGATGGACATGGATCATCATCAATAATGGGACCGATTAACATAGGTCATCAATAAAGGGACAAATGGACATGGGTCATCAATAGTGGGACCGATGGACATGGGTCATCATCAATAATAGGATGGATGGACATGGGTCATCATCAATAATGGGACCGATGGACATGGGTCATCAATAATGGGACCGATGGACATGGGTCATCATCAATAATGGGACCGATGGACATGGGTCATCAATAATGGGACTGATGGACATGGGTCATCATCAATAATGGGACCATGGACATGATCAATAATGGGACATGGACATGGGTCATCATCAATAATGGGACCGATGGACATGGGTCATCAATAATGGGTAGGATGGACATGGGTCATCAAAACTGATGGACATGGGTCATCATCAATAATGGGACCGATGGACATGGGTCATCAATAATGGGACCGATGGACATGGGTCACTCATCAATAATGGGACCGATGGACATGGGTCATCAATAATGGGACTGATGGACATGGGTCATCAATAATGGGACCAATGGACATGGGTCATCCATAATGGGACCGATGGACATGGGTCATCATCAATAATGGGACCGATGGACATGAGTCATCATCAATAATGGGAACATGGGATCATCAATGGGACATGGGTCATCAATAATGGGACCGATCAATAATGGGACATGGGTCATCAATAATGGGACTGATGGACATGGGTCATCAATATTGGGACCGATGGACATGGGTCATCAATAATGGGACCGATGGACATGGGTCATCAATAATGGGGCCGATTAACATAGGTCATCAATAATGGGACCGATGGACATGGGTCATCAATAATGGGACTGGTGGACATGGGTCATCATCAATCATCATCAATAATGGGACCGATGGACATGAGTCATCAATAATGGGACAAATGGACATGTGTCATCAATATTGGGACTGATGGACATGGGTCATCATCAATAATGGGACCGATGGACATGAGTCATCAATAATGGGACTGATGGACATGGGTCATCATCAATAATGGGACCAATGGACATCATCAATAATGGGATCGATGGACATGGGTCATCAATAATGGGACTGGTGGACATGGGTCATCATCAATAATGGGATCGATGGACATGGGTCATCAATAATGGGACCGATGGACATGGGTCATCATCAATAATGGAACCGATGGACATGGGTCATCAATAATGGGACCGATGGACATGGGTCATCAATAATGGGACTGATGGACATGGGTCATCAATAATGGGACCGATGGATATGGGTCATCATCAATAATGGAACCGACGGACATGGGTCATCATCAATAATAGGACCGACGGACATGGGTCATCAATAATGGGACTGATGGACATGGGTCATCATCAATAATGGGATCGATGGACATGGGTCATCATCAATAATGGGACCGATGGACATGAGTCATCAATAATGGGACTGATGGACATGGGTCATCATCAATAATGGGACCGATGGACATGGGTCATCCATAATGGGACCGATGGACATGGGTCATCAATAATGGGACCGATGGACATGGGTCATCAATAATGGGACCGATGGACATGAGTCATCAATAATGGGACCGATGGACATGGGTCATCAAAAATGGGACTGATAGACATGGGTCATCATCAATAATGGGACCGATGGACATGGGTCATCAAAAATGGGACTGATAGACATGGGTCATCATCAATAATGGGACCGATGGACATGGGTCATCATCAATAATTAAACCGATGGACATGGGTCATCAATAATGGGACCGATGGACATGGGTCATCAATATAGAAAAAGTTCATAAGGATCAGGTACAGTATCACTTGGCAGCAAATGTAATTTGTATAAATGGCCACTGATGGGGAATGGATTTTTATTACTTCCATGTTATGATCTTATGACTTATTCCTCTGAGAACATGATTTTTTAAAACTTGTATCATGAAAACTGTTAATCAGCTAGTAACAAATTGTGTATAGATATTACAGACCTTTTTCTTGATTCTACGACCAGTATCAGGATCCTTCTCCACTTTCTCTACCTCCACCATGAAATAATCGTCCAGACAAAGCATACGAGGAGCACCGCCACCGTGTTGTACTTCCTTATCCTAATAAATAACAATTAGTGTCAACCAAAACTAGCACTCTAATTTCACTTTAGTTATGATGTACTAGTATTCTACTTTCACTTTAGTTATGATGTACTAGTATTCTACTTTCACTTTAGTTATGATGTACTAGTATTCTAGTGCATCTTATTTAACTGGTGATAAGTATAAAATTTTCAGATTCATGGTCAGATTACCACATCAAAATTTACCCAGTATTAATTTTAATCTGTCTGTTGCTAGGAGAAAACTCCCCATCACACAACCACATTGATTTCCAACAGACTGCCATATTTCCTTCCTCTCCATTTCCATACCTTTATAAGTTTTCCGACATATGACTTGCCAGCTCCTGGGAGACCTCTGAGGATGACAACTATCTGTGCTGGCCTGCTGTTTCGACCAGGGGCTACCAGTAAGTCATCTACTTTCACAGTCTCTATCTTAGGTTCATGTACAGACTGGTTTCCTCTTGACAGTGATGGTGAGTTTCTATCTTGCTCATATCTGTAATCTCTTAATACTCTACAAAATGACACAAGAAATTTTCTGTCAGAAATGATTAAACTGTCAACAAGATTTGTACAACAGTCAAGAATAACTTCTGCTCCTTTGTTCATAAGTTCTCAAAGTGTTAAGACAAAGGCACAACTATATCTTACAACAAATATGCCCTGCCTCCTGCTGCAAATATAACTCTAGACTCCTTCCCACATTTGTGTATCTTCCAGGAAAGAAGGTGTGGGGGTTCCCTTTGTATACACTTCTCCTACTTTTGGTCAATATTTTTTCACTGCGGCAGGGGGCTTATATTTGGTAAAATAATTGTAGGATAACTGTTACCCTAGTGACCCTTTTTATGCAACAGACTTAGAAATTTATCCTTATGATATTCAAACACTGAAGTTGTAACAATGATGCATAACTAGATTGTGCTGCTATGTATACAGGTAACCAGGTCTTGTTGGAATGTGAACTTGTAACAAAGCTGTGCTGCTATGTATACAGGTAACCAGGTCTTGTTGGAATGTGAACTTGTAACAAAGCCGTGCTGCTATGTATACAGGTAACCAGGTCTTGTTGGAATGTGAACTTGTAACAAAGCTGTGCTGCTATGTATACAGGTAACCAGGTCTTGTTGGAATGTGAACTTGTAACAAAGCCGTGCTGCTATGTATACAGGTAACCAGGTCTTGTTGGAATGTGAACTTGTAACAAAGCCGTGCTGCTATGTATACAGGTAACCAGGTCTTGTTGGAATGTGAACTTGTAACAAAGCCGTGCTGCTATGTATACAGGTAACCAGGTCTTGTTGGAATGTGAACTTGTAACAAAGCCGTGCTGCTATGTATACAGGTAACCAGGTCTTGTTGGAATGTGAACTTGTAACAAAGCCGTGCTGCTATGTATACAGGTAACCAGGTCTTGTTGGAATGTGAACTTGTAACAAAGCCGTGCTGCTATGTATACAGGTAACCAGGTCTTGTTGGAATGTGAACTTGTAACAAAGCCGTGCTGCTATGTATACAGGTAACCAGGTCTTGTTGGAATGTGAACTTGTAACAAAGCCGTGCTGCTATGTATACAGGTAACCAGGTCTTGTTGGAATGTGAACTTGTAACAAAGCCGTGCTGCTATGTATACAGGTAACCAGGTCTTGTTGGAATGTGAACTTGTAACAAAGCCGTGCTGCTATGTATACAGGTAACCAGGTCTTGTTGGAATGTGAACTTGTAACAAAGCCGTGCTGCTATGTATACAGGTAACCAGGTCTTGTTGGAATGTGAACTTGTAACAAAGCCGTGCTGCTATGTATACAGGTAACCAGGTCTTGTTGGAATGTGAACTTGTAACAAAGCCGTGCTGCTATGTATACAGGTAACCAGGTCTTGTTGGAATGTGAACTTGTAACAAAGCTGTGCTGCTATGTATACAGGTAACCAGGTCTTGTTGGAATGTGAACTTGTAACAAAGCTGTGCTGCTATGTGGACAATGTCACAGTCTACAAGTGACTAGATCATGTTGATATGTCAACATGTAGCTAGGCCATGTCACATGTCTACTAGTGACTAGATCATGTTGATATGTCAACATGTAGCTAGACCATGTCACATGTCTACAAGTGACTAGATCATGTTGATATGTCAACATGTAGCTAGGCCATGTCATATGTCTACAAGTGAATAGATCATGTTGATATGTCAACATGTAGCTAGGCCATGTCACATGTCTACAAGTGACTGGGTCATGTCGCTATTTATAGAATTAATTTGGTCATATCAGTATATGTAAGTAAGAGGTTTCATCATGTGTACATATTACTAGGCCCTATTTCTGTGTGTACATAAGCTTATAAGCTGATGACTTGTAGGTAACCTACCGTTCTTTTTCAGGAGCTGGAGCAGTAACTGAAAAAGAAGAATTCACATTTAATAGACTTGACAATAATTACAGATTATTAGGATATGATTGGTAAACAGGTAAACTGTCTCTCAGGTATGTTATCACCTCCACAATAGTACACTATACATATATATAGGACAACATCCCAGTCCGCTCTTATCATATACTATATATGTTTGGGGACTTATTTGTGTTTAACAGTTGTCTAACAGTACAAAGGAAGGGAGACCATGATCAATAATAGGTCACACATATATGATAGCTGACCTATAAACTTTGACTGCTATGAGTAACTTTGAGCTTGTCTGCTGTGAGTATTGACTGCCAACACTGTCAAATATATTCTATAAAAACTTAATTTATTTTTACAACAAAAACAAAACAAGCTTTAAGCTTATATCAATCACTCATGTTGGCTCGGGTTGAAGCATGCAAGGAGTTTTATTTTTAGTTAAAACCAGAGTACCCAGGGAATACCCACATGGTCGTGTAGGTACACCAGTACTTTTTTACATCTGTGCTGCTAATCAAACCATGGATGCCTAGGTGAAAGACAAGTGTGCTACCACTGCAGCCAAAACCACATTCCCCGTTCCCTGTTCTCTCCACTATTTCTCTCTGTTTTAAGATTCCTGTAAATTACCTAACCACATTCCCTGTTCTCTCCACTATTTCTCTCTGTTTTAAGATTCCTGTAAATTACCTAACCACATTCCCTGTTCCCTATTCTCTCCACTATTTCTCTCTGTTTTAAGATTCCTGTAAATTACCTAACCACATTCCCTGTTCTCTCCACTTTTTCTCTCTGTTTTAAGATTCCTGTAAATTACCTAACCACATTCCCTGTTCTCTTTCTCTCTCTTTTAAGATTCCTGTAAATTACCTAACCACATTCCCTGTTCTCTCCACTTTTTCTCTCTCTTTTAAGATTCCTGTAAATTACCTAACCACATTCCCTATTCTCTCCACTTTTTCTCCCTCTTTAAGATTCCTGTAAATTACGTAATCACATTCCCTGTTCTCTCCACTTTTTCTCTCTCTTTTAAGATTCCTGTAAATTACCTAACCACATTCCCTATTCTCTCCACTTTTTCTCCCTCTTTAAGATTCCTGTAAATTACCTAATCACATTCCCTGTTCTCTCCACTTTTTCTCTCTCTTTTAAGATTCCTGTAAATTACCTAACCACATTCCCTATTCTCTCCACTTTTTCTCCCTCTTTAAGATTCCTGTAAATTACCTAATCACATTCCCTGTTCTCTCCACTTTTTCTCCCTCTTTAAGATTCCTGTAAATTACCTAATCACATTCCCTGTTCTCTCCACTTTTTCTCTCTCTTTTAAGATTCCTGTAAATTACCTAATCACATTCCCTGTTCTCTCCACTATTTCTCTCTCTTTAAGATTCCTGTAAATTACCTAATCACATTCCCTGTTCTCTCCACTATTTCTCTCTCTTTAAGATTCCTGTAAATTACCAAACCACATTCCCAGTTCTCTCCACTTTTTCTCTCTCTCTAAATTACCTAAGATTCCTGTAAATTACCTAATCACACATTCCCTGTTCTCTCCACTTTTTCTCTCTCTTTTAAGATTCCTGTAAATTACCTAATCCACATTCCCTGTTCTCTCTCACTATTTCTCTCTCTTTAAGATTCCTGTAAATTATCTAACCACATTCCCTGTTCTCTCCACTATTTCTCTCTCTTTAAGATTCCTGTAAATTACCTAATCACATTCCCTATTCTCTCCACTTTTTCTCTCTGTTTTAAGATTCCTGTAAATTACCTAACCACATTCCCTGTTCTCTCCACTTTTTCTCTCTCTTTAAGATTCCTGTAAATTACCTAACCACATTCCCTGTTCTCTCCACTTTTTCTCTCTCTTTTAAGATTCCTGTAAATTACCTAACCACATTCCCTATTCTCTCCACTTTTTCTCCTTCTTTAATATTCCTGTAAATTACCTAACCACATTCCCTGTTCTCTCCACTTTTTCTCTCTCTTTTAAGATTCCTGTAAATTACCTAACCACATTCCCTGTTCTCTCCACTTTTTCTCCCTCTTTAAGATTCCTGTAAATTACCTAATCACATTCCCTGTTCTCTCCACTTTTTCTCCCTCTTTAAGATTCCTGTAAATTACCTAACCACATTCCCTGTTCTCTCCACTTTTTCTCTCTGTTTTAAGATTCCTGTAAATTACCTAATCACATTCCCTGTTCTCTCCACTTTTTCTCTCTCTTTTAAGATTCCTGTAAATTACCTAATCACATTCCCTGTTCTCTCCACTTTTTCTCTCTCTTTTAAGATTCCTGTAAATTACTCTTTTTCTCTCTCTTTTAAGATTCCTGTAAATTACCTAACCACATTCCCTGTTCTCTCCACTTTTTCTCTCTCTTTTCTCTCTCTTTTAAGATTCCTGTAAATTACCTAATCACATTCCCTGTTCTCTCCACTATTTCTCTCTCTTTTAAGATTCCTGTAAATTACCTAACCACATTCCCTGTTCTCTCCACTTTTTCTCTCTCTTTTTTCTCCCTCTTTAAAATTACCTAACCACATTCCCTCTCCACTTTTTCTCTCTCTTTTAAGATTCCTGTAAATTACCTAATCACATTCCCTGTTCTCTCCACTATTTCTCTCTCTTTAAGATTCCTGTAAATTACCTAACCACATTCCCTGTTCTCTCCACTTTTTCTCTCTGTTTTAAGATTCCTGTAAATTACCTAACCACATTCCCTATTCTCTCCACTTTTTCTCCCTCTTTAAGATTCCTGTAAATTACCTAATCACATTCCCTGTTCTCTCCACTATTTCTCTCTCATTAAGATTCCCATAAATTACCAAACCACATTCCCTGTTCTCTCCACTATTTCTCTCTCTTTTAAGATTCTTGTAAATTACCTAATCACATTCCCTGTTGCCTATTCTCTCCACTATTTCTCTCTGTTTTAAGATTCCTGTAAATTATCTAACCACATTCCCTGTTCTCTCCACTATTTCTCTCTGTTTTAAGATTCCTGTAAATTACCTAACCACATTCCCTGTTCCCTCTCTCCACTTTTTCTCTCTCTTTTAAGATTCCTGTAAATTACCTAACCACATTCCCTGTTCTCTCCACTTTCTCTCTCTCTCATTCCCTTAAGATTCCTGTAAATTACCTAACCACATTCCCTATTCTCTCCACTTTTTCTCTCTCTTTTTAAGATTCCTGTAAATTACCTAACCACATTCCCTGTTCTCTCCACTTTTTCTCTCTCTTTTAAGATTCCTGTAAATTACCTAACCACATTCCCTGTTCTCTCTTTTTCTCTCTCTTCTCTCTTTTAAGATTCCTGTAAATTACCTAATCACATTCCCTGTTCTCTCCACTTTTTCTCTCTCTTTTAAGATTCCTGTAAATTACCTAATCACATTCCCTGTTCTCTCCACTTTTTCTCTCTCTTTTAAGATTCCTGTAAATTACCTAATCACATTCCCTGTTCTCTCCACTTTTTCTCTCTCTTTTAAGATTCCTGTAAATTACCTAATCACATTCCCTGTTCTCTCCACTATTTCTCTCTCTTTAAGATTCCCATAAATTACCAAACCACATTCCCTGTTCTCTCCACTATTTCTCTCTCTTTTAAGATTCTTGTAAATTACCTAAACACATTCCCTGTTCCCTATTCTCTCCACTATTTCTCTCTGTTTTAAGATTCCTGTAAATTACCTAACCACATTCCCTGTTCCCTATTCTCTCCACTATTTCTCTCTGTTTTAAGATTCCTGTAAATTACCTAATCACATTCCCTGTTCTCTCCACTATTTCTCTCTCTTTAAGATTCCTGTAAATTACCTAATCACATTCCCTGTTCTCTCCACTATTTCTCTCTCTTTAAGATTCCTGTAAATTACCTAACCACATTCCCTGTTCTCTCCACTATTTCTCTCTCTTTTAAGATTCTTGGAAAATAACTAACCACATTCCCTGTTCCCTATTCTCTCCACTATTTCTCTCTGTTTTAAGATTCCTGTAAATTACCTAACCACATTCCCTGTTCCCTATTCTCTCCACTATTTCTCTCTGTTTTAAGATTCCTGTAAATTACCTAATCACATTCCCTGTTCTCTCCACTATTTCTCTCTCTTTTAAGATTCTTGTAAATTACCTAACCACATTCCCTGTTCTCTCCACTATTTCTCTCTGTTTTAAGATTCCTGTAAATTACCTAACCACATTCCCTGTTCCCTATTCTCTCCACTATTTCTCTCTGTTTTAAGATTCCTGTAAATTACCTAATCACATTCCCTGTTCTCTCCACTATTTCTCTCTCTTTTAAGATTCTTGTAAATTACCTGTGTCAGTCTCAATGCTGCCGCTTCTACCGTGGCCATAATCTATTACTGTTTGAGGAGGAATAAATGCAGACTCTGTATCTGAAAGTAAAATCTCAAAAATTTCAGGATTTATCCTTGATTTATATGTCTGATAACATGTGGGATTCTTAGAAGTTGAAAAAAACCAATGAAAGAAAATGGAAATGTTACAAGCAGTATTTTTAATTTTGTTTTTGCAGTCTGTAATAGTTGATCAGCAGTCCATTGAGATATTATGGTCCTATCTCTTATACTGTATATATAAAAACATATATAATATATAACAATATACTTGTGAACTACGGCTCAACTGATGTCTGTATTTTATCAAAACCTCATTGGATTTGAAACTGATAATTATAGTTATATAATCATGTATGTTCATGGGGCTCAAATTCTGCGGTTTTCCTGAAGTAAACAATTACACTGGCACTTGATTTCATGGGTAAATGTCACTCACAAAATGCACATGTACTATCATTTTGTTGACTAATAAATCTGTGGATTTAAAGAACCCACAAATTAAATGAAAATAAATCCACAGCATAACAAATTTTATATTATTATATATAGATTGAAAGAAAGTAACAGCAACGCTGCAGAAAATCCAAAAGTCCAATCTGGATGTTTAAGATAGGATAAATTTGTGTCCATATCTTACCAATTCTGGTGACATCTTTTTGTATTATTTTCTATTTTTAAAAGTGTGTCTGAGGAAAACCAAACAGGCCTCTAAATGACCTTATTTCCTATATCAAACTTTTTTAGTTAAACTAGTTACATTCTATGTCCACTATACTGAACAAGTACCATTCTGTTCTGTATAAGTAAAACATTACCAGAGCAGTAGTGTTATAGTCATTGAATATTTGAATACTGAATCAGGTGAAATTTACCTCCAGTGATTTGAATAGACTTCCGTTATAATTTGTTATTTACAAATTTTAACATGAGATTTAAAGTTGTCATGACACAGGATGGGTCTTAAATGCAGGAAGAGGGACTCAGAAATAGTACATACCTTGTAAAACCGAGGATTTATGTGAGTGATCAATAACTATTGGAGGAACGTAGGGTCTGTCCACTACATCACGTGGTGGTAAATATCGATCAATGTCGCGATCCAGACCTCGTTCTCGATCAAGCAACGGATCTCTTTCACGACTAAGTGGTGAGTACGGTCTTGCTCTATCATATCTGGAAAACAAGATAGAGAGAGGGTTAGGGTTAATTAAATCTGCAGGATAAAGTGATGAAAGTGGTCAAAAATTTTTTTGAAAGCTTTCCCAGGGAGGTTACCATGGTAATTATTTCATGGTTTATAGAGTTACTAAAAACCTTCCAGGAAAAGCACCTTTCTAGCACTTTCTGAAAAATAAATAAGACAGAATATGGTATTCTAACAATTTTTAAGGAATATTTTTTTTGTGTTTTTAACACTTTTTCCAAGACAAGTATCTTCTGTTATTTTTTAACTACAGTCGATCTCGTCTAACTGGAAGACTCTGTTTAATTCAACTTTACACAAAACAGTTGAACTCACTTCCACTGAATAATCAGTTACCTCGAAGTTTTTCCATGACCCCATCAAGTTGAACTAACCAGGTTCTACTGTATGTTCTATAAATCAACTGTACAAGAAATTTTGGTGATTTCTTTGTGTAAATTCTGAACCATCATTGTAAAAGTTGAAGATTCAGTCTTCATTTACACTCCATAGGGAACCCCATTTCCTGTCACTAATATGGTCATGACAGGTAAGCATGCATGGTAAGGCATCTGAGGTACCGGTGTCAGTCAGTCAATGACCAGTTCCTAAACTTGAACAACTTTGACAAGTCATCAGCAAAGAATGCAGTACAAAATCCCTAAGCAATAAACTAGTCAAAGTTAATATCTACATCAATCAGTTATTTTGTTCTTCAGTTTCTAGAGCAATATGGAAGTTGATAAGTTATTTAAAAACTTGTATAGCTTTATTAACAGGTGACCAGCATTTCAAATTCAAACAAACTACCGATCTTCACCACAGAGTTACCAAACCTGTACTACACAGTAATGAATGCTTCATGGAATTTATTTGTCCATAACTCTGAAGTCAACAAAAAAATCACCAGAAACACTATACTTACATGTAAAATACAAGAAAATTCACAATAAACAGTTGCATGATAACTTTTCGTATCTTATTATTCAACAATGCTTTAAATGAAAATTCTGTGTTTCTTATCAATGTTTAAATATGTGGTGATTCATTTTACTGGTTTTACTTCAATAGTAAACAAAGTAAAAAAAGCTGGTTTACTGTTCCTGTCTGTACAATCAGTGGGTATTCCATGGTTGTACCTGTCTGTACAATCAGTGGGTATTCCATGGTTGTACCTGTCTGTACAATCAGTGGGTATTCCATGGTTGTACCTGTCTGTACAATCAGTGGGTATTCCATGGTTGTACCTGTCTGTACAATCAGTGGGTATTCCATGGTTGTACCTGTCTGTACAATCAGTGGGTATTTCATGGTTGTACCTGTCTGTACAATCAGTGGGTATTCCATGGTTGTACCTGTCTGTACAATCAGTGGGTATTCCATGGTTGTACCTGTCTGTACAATCAGTGGGTATTCCATGGTTGTACCTGTCTGTACAATCAGTGGGTATTCCATGGTTGTACCTGTCTGTACAATCAGTGGGTATTCCATGTATCTGTCTGTACAATCAGTGGGTATTCCATGGTTGTACCTGTCTGTACAATCAGTGGGTATTCCATGTATCTGTCTGTACAATCAGTGGGTATTCCATGGTTGTACCTGTCTGTACAATCAGTGGGTATTCCATGTATCTGTCTGTACAATCAGTGGGTATTCCATGGTTGTACCTGTCTGTACAATCAGTGGGTATTCCATGGTTGTACCTGTCTGTACAATCAGTGGGTATTCCATGGTTGTACCTGTCTGTACAATCAGTGGGTATTCCATGTATCTGTCTGTACAATCAGTGGGTATTCCATGGTTGTACCTGTCTGTACAATCAGTGGGTATTCCATGGTTGTACCTGTCTGTACAATCAGTGGGTATTCCATAGTTGTACCTGTCTGTACAATCAGTGGGTATTCCATGTACCTGTCTGTACAATCAGTGGGTATTCCATGGTTGTACCTGTCTGTACAATCAGTGGGTATTCCATGTATCTGTCTGTACATCAGTGGGTATTCCATGGTTGTACCTGTCTGTACAATCAGTGGGTATTCCATGGTTGTACCTGTCTGTACAATCAGTGGGTATTCCATGGTTGTACCTGTCTGTACAATCAGTGGGTATTCCATGGTTGTACCTGTCTGTACAATCAGTGGGTATTCCATGGTTGTACCTGTCTGTACAATCAGTGGGTATTCCATGGTTGTACCTGTCTGTACAATCAGTGGGTATTCCATGGTTGTACCTGTCTGTACAATCAGTGGGTATTTCATGGTTGTACCTGTCTGTACAATCAGTGGGTATTCCATGGTTGTACCTGTCTATACAATCAGTGGGTATTTCATAGTTGTACCTGTCTGTACAATCAGTGGGTATTCCATGGTTGTACCTGTCTGTACAATCAGTGGGTATTCCATGTATCTGTCTGTACATCAGTGGGTATTCCATGTATCTGTCTGTACAATCAGTGGGTATTCCATGGTTGTACCTGTCTGTACAATCAGTGGGTATTCCATGGTTGTACCTGTCTGTACAATCAGTGGGTATTCCATGGTTGTACCTGTCTGTACAATCAGTGGGTATTCCATGGTTGTACCCGTCTGTACAATCAGTGGGTATTCCATGGTTGTACCTGTCTGTACAATCAGTGGGTATTCCATGGTTGTACCTGTCTGTACAATCAGTGGGTATTCCATGGTTGTACCTGTCTGTACAATCAGTGGGTATTCCATGGTTGTACTTGTCTGTACAATCAGTGGGTATTCCATGGTTGTACCCGTCTGTACAATCAGTAGGTATTCCATGATTGTACCCGTCTGTACAATCAGTGGGTATTCCATGGTTGTACCTGTCTGTACAATCAGTGGGTATTCCATGGTTGGACTTGTCTGTACAATCAGTGGGTATTCCATGGTTGTACTTGTCTGTACAATCAGTGGGTATTCCATGGTTGTACCTGTCTGTACAATCAGTGGGTATTCCATGTATCTGTCTGTACAATCAGTGGGTATTCCATGTCCATGTACAATCAGTGGGTATTCCATGGTTGTACCTGTCTGTACAATCAGTGGGTATTCCATGGTTGTACCTGTCTGTACAATCAGTGGGTATTCCATGGTTGTACCTGTCTGTACAATCAGTGGGTATTCCATGGTTGTACCTGTCTGTACAATCAGTGGGTATTCCATGTATCTGTCTGTACAATCAGTGGGTATTCCATGGTTGTACTTGTCTGTACAATCAGTGGGTATTCCATGTACCAGTCTGTACAATCAGTGGGTATTCCATGGTTGTACCTGTCTGTACAATCAGTGGGTATTCCATGGTTGTACCTGTCTGTACAATCAGTGGGTATTCCATGGTTGTACCTGTCTGTACAATCAGTGGGTATTCCATGTACCAGTCTGTACAATCAGTGGGTATTCCATGGTTGTACCCCTCTGTACAATCAGTGGGTATTCCATGGTTGTACTTGTCTGTACAATCAGTGGGTATTCCATGGTTGTACCTGTCTGTACAATCAGTGGGTATTCCATGGTTGTACCTGTCTGTACAATCAGTGGGTATTCCATGGTTGTACCTGTCTGTACAATCAGTGGGTATTCCATGTACCTGTCTGTACAATCAGTGGGTATTCCATGGTTGTACCTGTCTGTACAATCAGTGGGTATTCCATGTACCAGTCTGTACAATCAGTGGGTATTCCATGGTTGTACCCTTCTGTACAATCAGTGGGTATTCCATGGTTGTACCTGTCTGTACAATCAGTGGGTATTCCATGTACCAGTCTGCACAATCAGTGGGTATTCCATGGTTGTACCTGTCTGTACATTCAGTGGGTATTCCATGGTTGTACCTGTCTGTACAATCAGTGGGTATTCCATGGTTGTACGTGTCTGTACAATCAGTGGGTATTCCATGGTTGTACGTGTCTGTACAATCAGTGGGTATTCCATGTACCTGTCTGTACAATCAGTGGGTATTCCATGGTTGTACCCCTCTGTACAATCAGTGGGTATTCCATGGTTGTACCTGTCTGTACAATCAGTGGGTATTCCATGGTTGTACGTGTCTGTACAATCAGTGGGTATTCCATGGTTGTACGTGTCTGTACAATCAGTGGGTATTCCATGGTTGTACCTGTCTGTACAATCAGTGGGTATTCCATGGTTGTACCTGTCTGTACAATCAGTGGGTATTCCATGGTTGTACCTGTCTGTACAATCAGTGGGTATTCCATGGTTGTACCCGTCTGTACAATCAGTAGGTATTCCATGATTGTACCCGTCTGTACAATCAGTGGGTATTCCATGGTTGTACCTGTCTGTACATCAGTGGGTATTCCATGGTTGTACCTGTCTGTACAATCAGTGGGTATTCCATGGTTGTACCTGTCTGTACAATCAGTGGGTATTTCATGTACCTGTCTGTACAATCAGTGGGTATTCCATGTACCAGTCTGTACATCAGTGGGTATTCCATGGTTGTACCTGGCTGTACAATCATTGGGTATTCCATGGTTTTACCTGTCTGTACAATCAGTGGGTATTCCATGTACCTGTCTGTACATCAGTGGGTATTCCATGGTTGTACCCGTCTGTACAATCAGTGGGTATTCCATGGTTGTACCTGTCTGTACAATCAGTGGGTATTCCATGGTTGTACCTGTCTGTACAATCAGTGGGTATTCCATGTATCTATGTATCTGTCTGTACAATCAGTGGGTATTCCATGGTTGTACCTGTCTGTACAATCAGTGGGTATTCCATGGTATTCCATGGTTGTACCTGTCTGTACAATCAGTGGGTATTCCATGGTACCTGTCTGTACACATGGTTGTACCTGTCTGTACAATCAGTGGGTATTCCATGGTTGTACCTGTCTGTCAATCAGTGGGTATTCCATGGTTGTACCTGTCTGTACAATCAGTGGGTATTCCATTACAATCAGTGGGTATTCCATGGTTGTCAAGTGGTGGCACCACGATAGTACGGATCACGTCTAAGGTATGGATCTGGGTAAAGTCTATCATAAGGGTCACGTGGGGGTAAGGCGGGCCGATCCCTCAAGCGATCCTCTAGTCGACTGTCAGCCAGTCTGTCTGGGTAACCATACTCGCCCCGTCTATAAGGATCATCACGCCTCACAAGCTGCACAACAGAACAGGGTTAATGTTTGACTATATTCAACAAATTATCATATCAATATACTTATGAATTATTATAAAAAATGACATAACATTAATTATTTTTCATGGCTTTGAAAGTAAAATCTAAGGAAATAGGTTGAATTAATCAGCACCTATTTTGCATCATCACCTTTTGACAGGAATGGATTTGACTTACATAAAAGACTAACTAAAGATTAGGTAATAGCCATACTGAGATACCGTAATCTACATATTCATTCTGGTGTAGTACCCTCCTAATTATGTATCATCACATTGATGATAGTTTGACATTTTAGTACCATATGAATATCTAACCAATGTTTCACATAGAAGCATTTAATGATAATAATACATAACTTCTCCACTATATCACAGGGGCATTAAAATAACCAAACTTTCTTTACCTCATCTCCACCATAGGGTGGAGGCTGTTGTGCTTCACTATATCCCCCAAAGTCACTGTCTTGACCTTTCCAGTCCAGGTCAGGCCGGCCCCTGCCTCGGCCTCTCCCTCTGCCCCTTCCACGTCCTCGCCCTCTTTGCCATCCCTGATGATCCTTCCCATCTCCATGTCCTCCCCATCCCTGGTCCTCCTCCTCCTCACCATACCATCCATGTTGATCATCACCCTCTGGTCCAGGTCTGCCTCTCCCCCTACCAGGGGGTCTCCATCCTTGCTGGTCTTCCCCTTCTTTACCCAGATTACTACGGCCCCTACCCGGTTGCCATCCCTGCCAATCCTCTTCCTCCTCTCCTGATCTTCCCCTTCCTCTACCAGGGGGACCCTGCCAACCTTGCTGGTTCTCGTCTTCCTGACCAGGTCTTCCCCTTCCTCTACCAGGGGGACCCTGCCAGCCTTGCTGGTTCTCATCTTCCTGACCGGGTCTTCCCCTTCCTCTACCATGGGGACCCGGCCAGCCTTGCTGGTTCTCATCTTCCTGACCAAGTCTTCCCCTACCTCTGCCAGGGGGGCCCTGCCAGCCTTGCTGGTTCTCGTCTTCCTGACCGAGTCTTCCCCTACCTCTGCCAGGGGGGCCCTGCCAGCCACCTGCTTGTTGGTCATACCCACGCCCACGTCCTCTCCCATATTGGCCAACCTGGTTAGGCCCTCCAAACTGCTGCATACGTGGACCTTGTTGCATTCCAGGCCCCATACCTGGTTGCCCTGGCCTGGGAAATGGTGGGTGGGGACCAGTGTTCTGTGGAGCAGTGATCTGTGGTTTGGTATTTTCTGGTATCACAGGAGGATTATCCATTAAAGACTTGAGCAAGTCACCAACACCTCGATTGGTCCTCATCTTCTGTGTATGAAATAAAATTACAAAAGTATCAAATTTTGGTATAGTTTACCTTAACATTTTATTTACTAGATATTACATTTAAGTCTTCCTCACTTGGTGTTAATCTTGTGATAATACATGTATTAACCAAGTAAAGTGTTTCCATACTTTCTAATCCTGGTGTCTTTTCAAAACAACATGAATATTATTTATCTTAAATCTATAGGCATAAGAATTTAAGCTTTTGAGTGTCACTACTGGACCAAATTAAGGACACCAACCTTTCCAGGGTCATCTTCATCAGCCAAACTGAAATGTAGACAATACCAGCATCAGTATCAAAAGCAAGAAATCCCCGAGGAACCTTGGCACGCACCATTGATTAATCTTTATTTGGTCTTTAAAAGTTGAATGTTTTCCCTTTTTCCATTTTTTCCTCTTTTTTTGCTTTTAATGAAATAAAATTTGAAAAATTGTCTTTTAAATGACAATAATCTCTAACTGTCAAATCCAAAATGGTCTTCGGTAGACCCATTTTTTCTGATTGTTTCTAAAACCAAAGGGCACAACTAGGGTCCAAGAGCAGAACAAATATGAAATTTAAAGGAAAGATCCATCCAGCACTCCTTAAGAAATAGCAATAACAAAATTTTTATTGATAAAATCCAGGATAGCAGAATGGACAATATTGACACTAGGGAAACAACATGGGGCAGAAACTCTTCAAAATAGTCTAATCAAACAGCTGTACAGGAAAACACAACTTCAGGTCATAGCTATTGAGGCTACAAAGTTTGAAAAAGATAAGTTGAAAACTGGGAAAGAAGATCACTGGACAAATCGCAGTTTTTTATGGACTAACCATAACGAACCATTACCATAATATGTCCTGCAAATTTTTTTAGCATGCATATGAATGTTGTGTTTGTATTATATTCTACATTTGACGGTAAAAAAATTGATTATGACTACCTATCATTAAATCAAGGCTATTGTGTTGGAAAATAAAAGTTTGAGCGTGCCTTTTACTACAGACTTACCCAGGAATTTTAATTTCCCCTCTGTTGTCTGTTGTAGATTTGTTTCCTAACTTTTCTGCAGTTGTTTTGTCACCAGGTTCAACAGCCTCATCAGGTTTATCTCCTAGTTCATCAGCAGATTTATCACCTTGCTTGGTCGCTGGTGCAGCCCCCAGTTTGGCCCCAGAGCTATCTCCTGGTTTGTCACCTGGCTTAGATGGCGATGTGTTATCAGCTTTGTCTCCTGGCTTCTCTGTTTGTGTGGTGCCATGTTTGTTGTCTGCTTTGTCACCAAGCATTCCTCCTATATTGCCAGTAGAAGTTGAACCTGTAGGATTTGCACCAGGAACAGAAAGTGCTTCTGGATTTCTGTCTGAGGACTTTACCTGGTTTGATGAAATGTTGGCCCCTTTTGGTGTAATCTGGCTTTTGTTTGGCTGGTCAATAGGGTCACTTCCAGTCTTTTGTCCAGGTCCTGGGCCTAATAATGATGACTGACCGTGCAGACCTCCAAATGCGGCTGTTGACTCCACCATTTTCCACTCATCATCCTCATCTTCATCCATGTCTTGCTCTTCTAAGTTGTCTGTTCCACCTTGGAATTCCAGATCCATCAGTGGAACAGGTCCTCCCCCTCTTCCCATATATCCCCCTCTGCCTGACTGACCTGACATCATACCACCTCTTCCCCCTCTGCCTGGACCAATTCCTCGGCTTCCACCAAAGGGCATCTGTGGCCTTGGACCTTGTCCTCTCATGAAACCTTGTCCCCCTGCACACTCATTCATCTGACCTTGAGGGCCATCGAATCGATGACCTCTACCTCCCCAATGACCTTGTGACATTCCCCTTTGATTACCTCTACCTCGGCCTTGATTATTATTTCCTTCGCCTTGTTGGTTTTCTGTATTTTGGCCAATAGGTCTAGGTCCCAATAAACTTTGTCCTCTCATACCAAATGAACCTTGACCTCCCATTTGACCTCGACCTCCCATTTGACCTCGACCTCCCATTTGTCCTCTACCTCCCATTTGTCCCTGACCTCCCATTTGACCATGACTTCCCATTTGACCTCGACCTCCCATTTGACCTCGACCACCCATTTGACCTCGACCACCCATTTGTCCTCTACCTCCCATTTGTCCTTGAACCCCCATTTGACCACGACCACGCATTTGGCCTTGACCTCCCATCTGACCTTGACCACTGTGCATGTAAGATTCCGGTTCATTTTCAATATTTCCTTCAAAACTGTCCTGATTATCATCTGGATTATCTAAGTCCATGTCACCCTCACCTTCATTAGAGTGCATTCCTCGCCCTGAACCTTGCATGCGATGACCTAGAGTATTTTGACCTCTGAACATTCCTGGCCTTGGGCCAGAACTAGGTCCTGGAAATCTCTGACCACTGTTTAACCCTCCTCTTCTGTTCATTACTCGTGATGGACCAAACTTCATACCGTTATAAGATCCTAAATTTTGATTAGAATTAAAATTATCTCCAGAATCTTTTTCCTGGGAGCTATAGTCACTTCGCTCTTCACCAAAACTGAAATCACCTTGTTTGCCTTTCCCAAAATTGTCACAATTTTGTTGAAAATTTCCACGCTGATTACTTGATCCAAAATTTCCAGATTGATTATTACCAAATCTATTTCCTTGCTGTTGGTTTCCTTCATTTGAATGAAATCCTTCTTGACGGTCATTACCTTGACTAAAATTCTGTTTGTCTTGTTCTTGGTTAGCACTTTGTTGTTGGTTCTGACCAAACTTTCCCTGAGGACCATAACCTTGGCTGAAGTCGCCCTGCTGATCTGGACCACTTAAATTTCCTTGTCTCTGTTCATAACTGTCCTGTTGGTTTGATCCAAAGTTTCCTTGCTGATTCTGACCAAATTTTCCTTGATTTGGACCAAATCCCCCACGCTGGTTTGGACCAAATCCTCCTCGTTGGTTTGGACCGAAGTTTCCTCGCTGGTTAGAACCAAAGCCTCCTCGCTGGTTTGGACCAAAGTTTCCTCGCTGGTTAGGACCAAAGCCTCCTCGCTGGCTAGGACCAAAACCCCCATGTTGGTTTGAACCAAAGTTGCCTTGTTGATTTTGACCAAAATTCCCTTCCTGGTTTGAACCAAAATTGCTGACTTGATTGTTGTTCCCTTGTTGGTTTGGTGGAATGCTACTTGGAATGCTACTGTCTGTTGGGCCTTGTTGTTTACCTGAACCTGCACTGCTTTCCTCCTGTTTTAGCACTTCAGCTTTCCTGGTGGCAATTTCTAAACGCTTTCCTTCCATTTGTTGTTCATACTGTCTCCATGTAGCTTCATACTGTAAGAACTGCTCCTTGTTAGGATGGTCTGAAGTACACAAATGAAGAATTAGAAAATTAATTTCTTCATTTACAAATGTTTGGTTCATTAAGATATTCATGATTTTTTCCGTAATATAAATAGTAAAAATTTTCTAACCAATTTGCTTAATTTAATTATGTGTTTACAAACACCTGCTTTGACTCTGTAAAATTACCAACTCCAGATAACTAGACCTTCAAGGATAAAGCATTCAGCTTTAGATTTCTCGAGCCGGAGAAGAAGTTTTCATAATGTGTATGTCCTCATCAAGCCAACAGCAAGTTCACTTCCCACATTTCATTCTGCATCTCAACATGACAGTAATTATAATCAAGGACAGACTATATTGAGGGTTCAAAACAAAATGACAGAACAGCATGAAAGAAAACCAGGGTGCTATTTACAAAACAATTCTATTGTACTGAAAATGAGGGCAATGTGTTTAAAAAATTGGCAGGTTACATTTTTGGTATCAAGCCCTGGTACTTTGTCCTGGAGTCTAGTTGGTATCTTTACTCACTTTGATTCTGTGCCTTCCAATCATCATACTGCTGTTTCCACTGTTTGTACTGTAAATCAAATTCACGCTCCTCCTGTTTAATAGCTTCCATAGCTGGACTCACTGTAAAATAAACAGGCAGTCATAAAAAATACAGATCAAGAAAAACAAAGGTATCACAATCTGGACTACAAGAACATATATCTATGTATCGTTATGACAACCTGGGTTACAGGATTATTATATATATATATTGTTATGAAAAATTGAGTTACAAGATTATTATATATACTTTAGTATGACACCCAGGACTACAGCATTGTAATATAGACATTGCTATGACAACAAGGACTACAGCATTGTGATATAGACATTGCTATGACAACACATTGCTATGACAACCTGGGCTACAGGACTGTTACATGTATATTGATGAAAACCTTTCAGAAGAATTTGGAATCTTCAAGATTTTTATGTTCATTGTTTGAAGTGGAAAATTTCATTCTACAAGTGACTTTTTTGCCACATTTTTGCAGTAAAAAACACGTTATTTTTCAAAAGAAAAATCAAAATTATCTTCCCAATGTTTGGATCTTTAAAAAATATTGGTTATCATGCTACTTTAACAGTATTTTATGAAGAATTTCTCCAGAGCAACAACTCCAAGACAATATATGTCATTAAATGGGTAACTGTAATTTGTATGTAAATCAAAACATTCTTTATTATATGCAAGTTACTTGAGATACTCATTTAAACAATTACTCCTTCATGCTCCAAACTGTATAAAAATGAATTATTCTGATTTCATCATGTTTGCTTGTTTTACAGTGTTTAACATCAGTCTGGGTCATACCAGGATGGTCTTTAATCATTTTGTTCACAATAACACACAAAATATTTCTTTATCATGTAATAATTATTAAGTTTATGGGTCTATTTTCCAAACAAGAATGTGCTGATATACAGACCTGTAGTTGAAGTTGGTACTATAGGTTGGCTCTGTGTATTTGTCTGATCACTAAAGCCTCCATATTGATTCTGTTGTGACCAGCCACCCTGAGACCATTGTTGTTGTTGCTGCTGTTGTTGTTGCTGTTGTTGTTGCCAATGTGCTGCTTGTTGCTGAAGAGCTGACAGTTTCTGTTCCTCTTCAGTTTTTGCTTTGGCATCTTTAGTCTGTTTATGAAACATGCAGTATTTTAATAAAACAAATTTTAAAGATTAAAACCGTAAACACATCTACCATAAAGAGTAATATTTTCAGAACTTGTAAAACCAGTCTGACACCATCATTTGTATACAACCCCTCCCCTCTCCCCCCCCCCAAAAAAAAAAAAAAAATCTGATTGGATCCCTCTAACATCAGTAAAGACAGATTTATTCTCATTCTTTCTTGTCTTGACAAATTTACTTACTACTTTTAAACATCAGTTAAGATAAGACTTTTTTTTAAAGAATGATTCAATCTCTCTTAAGGAAAGAAAAGTAAGTTTTCCTGACATGCTATCTTATATTTATCTGATAAAGCTTTAATAGACTTAATCCACTTATTGGACATTTCCTTGACAACTTTAACTTTGTACATTGTAGTGCATATGCTCGTTTTGCCAATATCACACAACTTTCGAGGAGTTCTAAGTCATGCCAGATATGACATTTCTAAGTCCTTAAATATATAGTCATACTAACTGTGTTTAAAAGTGATGGACAATGATAGGAAATAATAAATTATCTAATTGTTTAACCTCATCTGATTCGGTGATTGATTCTATTTTTTTTTTAAATCACTACCTTAATATTGTTTCATGTTGTAGCCAAAACAAAAGTCATATTATGCACACGAAAGATACCAACTACCAATAACATTCGTTCTTATGCAAGTTTTAGTGAGGTATTTAAGGTAAATAAAATTACAATAAGAAAAATGAAAATCACTGAACACTGCATGTATTCATTTTCTATGAATATGAATTGATTTTAAATGATAATCAATTATGGATTTCAGCTGTATTTTACATAAGCTATATTTAGTCTCAGAAAAGGAAGAAATTCTGTCAATCTACAGCCATTGCTATAATTATAAGTCATGCCACTTTTATCAATTTCATTATATGACAATAACTGACAAATTTTCATTGTTTTCGGACCAATAATGATATCTTTAACACGTCATCCGACACCTTTTATCAGCAGAAAGACGGTAGTTTCAATAAAGAGAATGCTTCTTAAATCACAGCAAGTTATTCTCGTGTACCATAACATTTAGTTTTTACCTGTTTCGTTTTCTCTTCCGGTGGTGGCTCTGGGGGCAGGGGTGGCTTTTCGTCTACAGGCGGGGCAGGGTTTACAGGTAAGGGGGGAGCATTTTTCGTCTTATCGATTGATTTCTCTGGTTCTTTCTCCTCTGGTGTTGGGGGCGGGGGATCTGTTGGTAGCGGGGGAGCAGGTCCGACTGGAGGTTGGGGCAGGTTTGCTGGAACCCCTATCGGCATACTTTGGCCCGGCCATTGTTGCTGTACGGCTTGCTGTTGGTAGTACCAATGATACATTTGTTGTTGTTGGTCCATATTACCTTGGCCAAAGAATTGCATTTGCTGGCCAGGTATCCCCCCGGTCATTTGCTGCCAACCATACATCTTGTTGTTCTTTAAAGTTATCTCTGTTTTCTCTCATTCAAACATGGCGTCTCATGGCTTTGTTAGAGTTGTCCCCCCTAGTTGATACTAATTAGGGAGAACTCATTACTTGGCACTATACCTAACTGGTTTGATTATTAGCGGGTGTATATTTGGTCAGGGATGTATAATATGATTTTGAAAATATATCGTACGTCTCTGTATTTCAAAGACTAACATCATTTATATCACATGGTTAATACATGTTTTGCTAAAGTCCCATAAAGCAGATAGAGCTACATATACAGAAGGATATTTAGTTAAAATGTACAATATGGGAAACTTAAGAGGTATCGGTCAACTGACAGAATGTATTCAGTGTTTCATTTTACTTTATTAACATGTGTCTCATTTTTCGTATCAAAATTGAAAATGTTGAGTGTACACGAGAAAGTGATACGTTGTTCAAATGAAAGACGTACAACATGTATATAACCAGAGACGTCTGTGCTATGACCTCCCTGATTATAACTAAATTACTTAATCATCACATGTACGCATGATATGATATATGATAATTGAACTTTACAATGCAGTTATTTATTGATTTATATAAGAATCTGAGTGACACACGAGTCTTTGCCATTTTTTATGCGTGTAATTTTCGTAGAGATATTCTCTGTAACCTCTACAAAAAAAGTCTACATAGACAACTCCCATTTTTATATTTATTACCTTTATAAAGATTATTTAAAAAAATCCAACTTTACAGTAAGATAAAACAGAGTCAAGAATTAATATAATTGTATCACTAAAGCTGTTTCGTTCTTCTAGGACTCGTCAGTGATGGTAAGGGCTTAAATTTTGAACGTAAAAGACGACTCAATCAGGAATGTCCGATGTGAGAAAAGAAATATCAAAATCTAGAGAGGGAGGTGCACTTGCCCTATGTTTCAACGTATTTTGTAAATTTTATGTATGTGATAATTTAAGAACAACGTCAAAAACATTGGTTTATGTGTGTAATTCTTTGATACTCACACGTGTTTTTAATGCTATTTCGTGGATAAATATAGCTGAGAAATCTCCTTATCATTATTCAACAGTTCATTGACATGTAAATTCGTAGAAATATCACTTCTTGAATCATTGAAAAAACACCATGGTAACTGATGATATTAAAGTATCATGGATAGGATGCGTCAGGTCTTCAAATACCCACAGAAACTCTTTGTCCACTTCAAATTCTCACTTATAATCAATATCAACTTGAATTTGGAAACCCGTTCGTTTACTTTCGCATGGATCAACATCATTCACGAAATCTCCACTGTAGACAATTGTACAATAACTTCTTGGAATTACCGATCATGTAAGGCTTGGGAACAGGGCAATCATCAGACATTAAGAGAGATCTGGGATCTAGAACACCCAAATTTCCTTGTAACATCTGCGGGGGAGAGACTTAACATGGAAATACAAAACGTGTACAAATCGCTGTCTTTGGTACTACACCAACTGTATACCGTTGTCAGAGTAGAAAATCCAGATTTTATAAATCATGCTTTTCATAAGACAGAACAGATTTTTCGATCAGTTTGTTTGAAATCTTTAACAGTGACGCTCACCGAAACCCGATTAGGAGATACCTCTGCAACAACACTTGGTCGATTTGTTTCGTCTTCCAGTCCTTCACCTGTCCCATCCCTTCATCCGGTCCATGAAAAAACCACAAGGAAAACAACGACATATAAAGTTAGGCCACTTCGGGTAAGTAATGTCATGTTCCCAAATGAGAACAAGGAAAACTCCAATAGAAACCACCGGGCAAACTAACGCCATCAAACAAGCCCGACTTCACAGATCATGATAACGGCCACTAAACTACCCCGTAATAGTCATCAACCTGCATCTCTTGAAACTCATAGTTAAACACCATAGGCTGGGTATGCATTAATGTTGCTATCCAGAAATGGAAAATTCACAAGAGGAAAATTGAAATAATCGCGCTTATCATACATCTTGGTCGAAAGCGGTCCTTGTTGAGTTAGGTTGGTGGAAAATTTCGAGGCAAGCGGATGTTGTGTCTAAAAACCAGAAATTCTGAAACCAGCTGTGTTTCAATTGTAACGTAGTACGAACACTTTATAAGAAGAAGAAAAAGACGACGAGGAGGACGAGGAAGAAGAGGAGGAGGAAGAAGAAAAGGAAGAGGAGGAGGAGTTCTTTATTTCGGTGCTACTTTGTATCAATTAAAATGCCCTCATAATGAAATAGGACGATTGTCTTTTTTCGATCTTTCTGAATTTATTATCACCCTTAGATATATTTCGTCTTCTCTAATAACAATCGCTCTTATAGTCATAAAATGGTCACTCTGAAACAACAAGTGCTTAGTGTTTGTCTTATTTAAAAGATAAGCTTTATTCTAGGGGTCGAGGGGTCAACAGTGTCGACTACAGCAGTTTAGCAGCATTACAATGAAAAGAAGGTTCAAGTCGTGATCACAGTAAGTCTGTAATATAAATAATGACAATTTATAAAAGCACTACAAACAACAAATGTCACCGGCATGCTTCATATCTAATGAATAGTATTTGGTGGTAAATGACGTGTATCCGTAAACACAAAATTCCAGGACTCCAAATTTCGCGCATTTTCATTTTGTCCTAACACTCCATCGGGGTTACCTCCCTTCATTATTTCGTCTCGAGGCGAGGGAGTGTTCATTAATCGGAAACAGTGTGAACTTTCTAAACCGGAATCGCACACGCATGAAACTGAGCTCAAATGTGAAAATAGGACTTTTGTTTGGTGAAAGAACTACAATATAACAGGATTATCTGATAGTTTATGTCAATTACGCAATGACTGCTTCAGGAAAACGGAGGTAAGCGATTTTGATTGACAAGGTTGGCATTTCATACACAATGCAGAAATTGGGCTTGTGTTGACATATATTGAGGTCACGGACCGTAAACAGCTGTATAAAAAAATATTATTTTTTCAACAACGAAACAAATTCTTATGCAGCTAGACGTTTTTGATTTTGATAAAATGATGCATCTCTTTATTATCAAAACTGTGTGTCGTATGACATAATGGCCAAATTATGAAATGCATTCCCTCTTTTAGGCTAAATTTCTTTCTCTTAAATTGACAGTCGGTGAACATGAGAGTTGGCCTTAAACTTTGAACTTAAATTTATATAAAATTCGGTTGGAGTTGTCAGTATTATTACTTTCTTAACAGGCAAATTATCTCATTCATTCCATTGTCAATACACCTTTATAGTTACATCATCTTTTTTTTTATCTGTTTTAATTCTCTTCTCCTCCTCTTTCTCAACATAATCTGTATCTACAGATATAGTACATAAAGGACATCCAGGTCATCAAATAGATCAAGATGTAACAGTGAAGGTGACAGACTCTCCACTGGGGCTGTTGAACTCATTATCCTAATAATGACTTCATAATGAATGCTAGTTTAGTAGTCATTGTTAACACCCAACTGAATTAGAACTAGAGAGATTATCTCTAGACCAGCTGGTAGAAAGGTGTCTTATATCATTTCATTAATAAACCATGTTTCCTCTGACTCCTATGCCAGACATTAAAAAAAAACGTTTTGATGGACTTCTAACCCAAGTCTCTTCTGACCCCCCACACAAGACGTTTGACATTTTGATGGACATCTAACCCAATTTAATCAAAATTTAATCAAAACACAATTTAAATCAAATGATAAAAAAGAATCAGTTCAAAATCTTCCAATATATGGAAATAAATCGCTGAGAATGATGGATCATTTTCAGCAATGTTTAGTCATAAAGTGTCAAAAATAAGGTGGGTTAATTGTTGGGTTACTTTTAGTTCTGCGGAGCTCATGATCAGGCCCCTTTGTATCCCCGAGAACTATCCCTGGCAATATCATTGTATAATATTTTTGAAGTACATTCAATGGTAAAAGGTATTACTAAATGCCTGCCATTACACCCCACAATTTCCCAACTCCAAAAAACAAAGAATAAGAGAAGAAAAAAATTCACAACAAAAAAATTGAACATTAAAGAATTCTTCGAAGAAAAATACACAGGTTTTCATCACCATTACCTCCATAGGGTTGCATATATAGGTTACAAGACATTGGTGTCTGTGGCATAAAAGCGATTTCATGTTAAACATCAAGCCTAGGGCTATGTTGTCAATTTAATATGATCATTATACCATATGTACAGAAAATGGTAGTCTTGGTAGGTTGGTGTTTACCTGGGACCCCTTTTTCAAGCTCTAGTGAATTTTGATTTAGTAAATTTATAATATTAGTACTCAGGCCTCGAATTTAAAATTTTTTGTCACTTGCTGAAAACAGCAAGTGCCTGAAAATTATACTTGCTAAAATTACTTTTTACTTGCTAATATAGCAAATCTCCATGTTCAAATAATGTATTTTTAATAATGTATTACCCTGCTTCATCCAATATATATCAACATTATAGAAGAACTGCTTTGTCCCTATATTTACACTATGAAAATCAAAACAATTTAATTCTGTGAAATGTTAGGAATAGACAGGCACTCCCAGTTTGCATCTAATGAATCCATTTGCTGAAAAAAGCAAGTCATTATTTTTTCTACTTGCAATTCTTGGATTTCTACTTACAAATAGCCAGTAAAAAGCCTTAAATTCAAGGCCTGGTACTGGGTTGGCAAATTATCATACTAGCTATGATATTTTTTTTACAAAAAACTGAAGATAAAATTGTGCAGAGTTTTTTTTTTCTATTCTGTATGGAATATACATATGCTGCCTGTTTGGAAAACACTACTATTTTCTTTAACTGTATATCAATATTTTTTTCTATTTAGGCTTTTTTTTCATTTTTTGTTGGCATTTGTGCCCGTTTCTCTTCCCGGAATCCAGCTGAAGAATTGTCTTGACACTTTTTTTCAAACTTGTGTTATAATGTTTAGAGTGGCATACTGGAATCAGCATGTCCGTCCATCTGTCTGTAGACAAAATTTGTCTGGTTATG